TCTGCTTGATTGGTAAACAAGTTTATTCTACCTATACATTTGGATTCCATCCAACTTTTTTGTTTACAGAAATCATCTCTCAGTTTCCACTTAGGCAGTCATTTAACATTACTTTCCTTCACCTATTGTTATTCGTCCTTGTATAAAAATAACTGTTTTTACTTCCTAAAATACAATACACCCATTCTATGCAATCAAGTGACATTCATAAAACCTTGGAGCAGATGTTGAAATTACTGGTCCATTCATTGGGGTTGAACATGTAGACACCCACAGACACCCCCCATCAGCCCTTCTTGTGACAGGCCTGGTCCAGGAAGTGTTTGAAACCACAAGTTTTGAATTCCTTGCAAAACCTTACCATCCCCTTCATAAAACTCCTCTGGTAGCGCTGAGCCACCATGTCATGACATGAGTCAGCATGAAGAAAACCTGGTACCTGTCCACTGGTAGAGTACAGTAACCAGCTGAACTTGCACATGCTGAGATACTGCAGAAAAGCTGTGGTGTGACATCTACTTCACTGACATGGCCAGACTATGTCCTAGCTCTTCCTCAGTCAAGGCTCACAGATTTTCTCTCTGGAGAACTGAGGCACAAGGATAGAGAATGAAAAATATCTGGGTTTTGTCACAAGCCATGACTCTGGAGTGCATACCTTTGTTTGGGAAATGCAGAAGTGGCCCTGGGATTCAACATGACTACTGCTCTGTGTTGCCTGCTACAACATCTACCAAAAACTTGCCTGGATTTTAAAAGTAATTGTCCAAGAAAAGGCTGATACCTTGCTCTCATAGTATGACCTTGCCTCAGAGTAAGAAGTGTGACATTCAGAAATACGGATATAAAAGTTTCACTAGATAACAATATCTCATGGCTTGTCACTGTATTTTAAGCATGTTTGTCTGGGGTAGTTCTCTGACAATTAGGCAGTGGTTGAGGAATTCAAAATTTAGCTTGAAATATTGAGGAAGGTAATAGGGCACCTATTCACTCCCAAAGGGCAGCCTCCCTCCTGGTCCCCTGGTTTAACTATGAGTATAGCAGAGATGCAACCAGGGCATTAGAGACATCACTTCACCTCAGGGCAATTTAGCTTGATTGTAACAAAAGCAATGTGAATATCTTCCATCTGGGCTGCTACATACACAGGGAAGAGCTAGATATATTTTAAAATTAAACAGTGCAATGTTAAAGAAAAAACATATGACATTAAAAAGCTTACTTAAAAATAAATCTCTCAAATTTTCCATCCTCCAAAGTTTATTAAAGAAAATTGAATTGGGCTGAAGTCTGTATCCAGGTCATCCTTCAATAAATCATATGTTAGAAACACAGACTGAAGCTCATCATCAGGTTGATTTTTTTTTCACTGTTTTTCTATACCAGGCAATCATGTTCTATATGACATTTAACACAGGGATCAGGCACCACTTTAAAACTGCCCACATGGCTGTTTCCCCTCTTTGTTCTGGAAAGAGGCTCTCCTGTAGCATCACTGCTCAGCAGCAGATATCACCTTCTATTTTCCAGTTTCCAGTGCTGAGGAGTTTAGTTGCCTTTGTTCTTGAACTACATGTATTCTCTACAATTACAGTAGCCACCTATCCCTTTCATGATCTACAGTCCTCCACAGAGACAACACACTGTTCCTCCTGCTGCCCTTCTCTGCACCTATTCAAGTTGGTATCATCTGCAAAAAGTATGAAAGAGCCAAAATGTGCAGAATTCCTGTGGGCTTGTGTGACCAGGTTTTGATAGCAAGGAGCACCAGGAGAGCCTTCTGTGAGAAGCTGCCAGAAGCTTACCTCGTGCCTGACAGAGCCAATTCCATCTAGCTGCAGATTGGACCTACTGCTGGCCACAGCTGAGCCCATCAGGGATGGTGGTAGAGCCTCTGGGATACCAGACTGGAAAAGGGTGGGAAGGGGAGGAAGGAGAATGGCTGTGGAAACAGCAGCCAAAGAGAAGAGTGAGATCATGTGGGAGAAACAGATCTGCAGACACCAAGGTCAGCAAAGATGGAGGGGGAGGAGGTGGTCCAGGTACCAGAGCAAATTCCCCTGCAACACGTGGAGGTCCATGGTGGAGCTGGTATTTGCTTTCTGCCCCTGGAGAATCCCATACCAGAGACACGGTGCCTGAAGGAGAATGTGACCCTCTGCCTGCTGGAGCTTGGGTCAACACAGGGCTTGATGACCTGTGGACAGAGTAGCCCATGCTGGAACAGGTTTTCTGGCAGGACTTGTGACCTCATGGGGGACCCACTGGAGCAGCCTCTTCCTGAAGGGATGCACTCCATGTAGGAGATCGACACAAGAGCAGTGTTTGAAGAACTATAGCCTGTGGGAGGCACTCAAATTGGAGCAGTTCATGGAGGATTGTCTCCTGTGGGAGCGATCCCATGTTGGAGCAGGGAAAGAGTGTGAGGAGGTCTCCTGCTGTGGAGGAAGGAACAACAGAGACAATTCGTGCTGAACCGACCACAGCCCCCATTTCCTATCCCCCTGCATCACTATGGGGGAAGCAGGTAGAGAATTCAGGAATAAAGTTAAGACTGAAAAGAAAGGAGGGGTGGGAAAAAGGTGTTTTTAAAATGTTTTATTTCTCATTATTCACTCTGATTTGATTGGTAACAAATTATTTTCCCCCCAAGTCAAGACTGTTTTCCTGTCACAGTAATTGCTGAGAGATGTCTCTCTCCTTATCTACACCCACGAGCCTTGAGTAGTGTTTCTTCTCCCCTATCCAGCTGCAGAGGGGGGTGATAGAGGGGCTTTATGTGGGCACCTGGTGTCCAGCCAGCCAGGGTCAGCCCAACACCAGAGTATCACTGTACTTATATTCAGACATTGGTAGCTGGTGTCAGAGACTAGGAAATAGCAATTTGCTATCTTTTATTCAGGCTATTTATAGCAATCACATTTATTTCTTACTATTATTCTGAAGTGAAAATGCTCAGTGTCAGATTTGACTGTACAGTATTTACTGCAGAAGAAATAAATAATTCAGTTGGTATTTCTAAAAATATAATTAGTTGATGAGTCAGAGAAGAATTTCATTTTCATAAATGTTAAGGCTGGAAGACTAGGATTATCATGATCGGTGTGTCTGACCTGTGACATCCCCATGTCTTAGGAGGCTGCCTGGTAATTCCTGCGTCAATTTGTAATTAGGATTTATGATTCTTCAGAGGAGACTGAATAAAGGCCCCAAACCACACTCTTGAGATGTGCTGAATGTTATTTCACACAAACAAAAGGTACACCCCACAGACAAGCCCAAACATGGTGATTCATAATTTTAATTAAAAAATTTAAGACCATGTACTAACAGTGCAAATTTTTAGAACATCATACATAACCGTGAGCCACTATGTCTGTGTGTTTGTATATATATATATATATATATATATATATTTATACATATAAGGCAATTAAACATATTTCTGTTTATGGGAATCTAAACCTTACTAAAAACCTGTGTCAGCCGTAGGAGATGTGTAAATAGAAAAGGAAGCAGCTGGGGTTAAATGAAAAACATAAACTATTCAAACTCTAGACTGCCATAAAAGCTGCCATGAAAGAAGAAGATGAAAACCAAAAACTAACCCCACATCGAGCAAAACATCAATATTTTATTGATTGACAACAGACTGCTATGTACTCATTGGTCAGTCGTAATCCATAGTGATTTCATGCCACTGCACTTTTGCCCTGGTTTAGCCATGCACACATATTCTTTTTGTTTTTTTCACTTTTCTACACAAAGTAATGTCTGTCTTCAATATGAATGAGGGCCACCCAAGTTAGCCAAATAACTCTGTGTACTCAAGGTTAGAGTCTAAAGAAGAATGACTTAAAGACATGCGAGATGAGGACTCAAACTCTGCTGGACAGTGCAGAACCTGCCATTCCTAACATCACTGCTCCATCCACAGTGTCCCAGTACACGAACCAGGCCACTGTGACGCACATTATGGAAGAAGATAACTGTTTGTAACTCAGTTCTAGTTGCCCTTTAATAGTAGATATTTGAGTGCTGGAGCTCAGCAAGTAGATATAAAGGCTGGCTATCTAGAAACTAAGGCCCTGTACTGCAAGCAAGAGCTGCTTGGCTTGCAATGACAATTACTAATTCTCGACATACTGTTAAAAAACACATGTGGTTAATGGTGAAATGAATCAGGAATTGGTTCTGGCGAGTTTATAGCCTGCTGTCCACAAGAAGGAATTTACAAGCATAGGAATGAACTGTGAATCAAAGACCAAGCATGTAAGGTCCTTAACAGGGCTTCAATTGCTGGCAAAGTGGTTTTGAATGAAGGAAAGTACAACATTAAAGGGACCAGTATGAAATGGCTCTTGTGTCAACTAATAAAAAATATATATTTTAGGCCTGTATTTGAAGGTATAGCAAAGGCAGTGGAAAAAGTCTTAAGGCATATTGATTATGGGAAAATGTATGTCAGCACTATTCAATCTTGGGCAATCCTTACCTCTTGCAGCAGCTGAAAATATGGGTTTATGTATGTTCTAGAGCAGCTATGCCTAAAAAATTAAGTACAGTTACCCAGTTTTGGGAAAGGACCTGTGCTGTAGTGTTTTGGCTGACTTCTTTGGGTAGCAATCTCAGTAAGGGAAGTGACCTTTTTTCCCATTGAATTGTCCCTTTGAATGGTCCTCTCTGACTCTGCAGTCCTCAGTGTGAAAGCATCTCCTTTCACAATTTCTGCCTGCTTTTTCAGCATCTTATTTGCCCAAAGTATGGAAGAATATAATATTTACAAGGTGTTCTCTTCAGTGTTATTATCCATTAGAAAAATGCTTGTGCCCAGCTTTCCCTGCCAAGATCTGCATCTGTGAATCAGTGTTAATGCCTCATCATTATTCATATGCCAAACAGACTTTTAAATCCTCTCTGGTTCATAGGTGATAAAAGACAAATTTTTGAGATTCTAACAGCAGAGTGCAGTGTGTTACAAGGAAAACATACTCAAGTTAGGCTTAAAATATATACAAATCCTATCTGCATTGTTTTATTAAGCACTATGGGGTGGTTGTTTAATTTTTGTTTATAAGCAGTTGAGAGCTAGGACGGAGTTAAACTGCTGTTGCAAAATTACTTCAATGACTAAATAACTGTAGTGCCTCTTATCTGGTTTTCTTACAGCAGAGTGGGAATAGTGAAGCTGTACAGCTGCACAGCTTTCCACAGAACTATGAAGCTGAGCCGCATTTGTGGCAAAGGATGTCATCCTGCCGAGTGAGGAATTCCTGGCCCACCAGGGAGACAGAGCATTTCACGCAGTTAAAGCATTCCCCGTGCCACTGACGCTCCTCAAATGAGATGTATTTGGCACCTCCAAGAGCTGAAAGAGAGTATGAAAAAAAAGGAAGATCTGAATCCAGTATTTCTGCAACAATAATGCAACAGATGACTTTCTGATGTGTGATCGGAAAAATGAACAAAAATGCATAGTGTGAAATATTTTTTATTGGCTGAATTGAAAAACCACTTTAAAATTTAAACAGTGGCAAATATTTCAGGCAAAGCCACAAGTTGCTTGCTTGCATATTCCTTTATGAGATCTGGACACAATGGGATTATCAGAATGTCCATCCAGGTTTGCTGATCTTCCCAACAAACCCCATGAAATTTACTTGCAATATGCTGAAACGTATAGTCACAACTCTGAGTGAAATTTAATAATTAAGTTTCTTCAAGATGGATTATTTTGGAAATTACCAGATAATGGGATTCCTAGCAGAATTATCTGAAATAAGATTTTGTGGACTGAAAGAAATTGAATAGTTTTGATTTTTTTGTTGTTGTTGTTATTTTGTAGGTTTTTTTCTTTTTTTAATCATGCACATGTGATTGAGTATTCATCGATTTCTTTGTCCAGTGACATATGCAGCATGCACCTGTAAGAATCAGGCAGTACTTTTCAACACATAACAGGATTAGATGCAGAACACCAGAAAACTTCAGATATCATAGACCAGTGACATACATGTCACATTAGAAATCATACATAAGTATACAAGGATGTACGAAATAGAGCCCTGCTGCATTTGGCAAGCTTTCTAATTTGACAGGTGTGCCTTACCAGCAGGCAGTTAATCTGTTTTCAGTTTGATCACATTTGCATTTAAAAACAGAACTGAAGAAATCACAGAGGGGCTTGTGTATACTATTCTGGGAAGAGGAAAAAGAAGCATCTTTTTAATATTCTCAAGGAGGAATTTTAATACAGAAAACACTACATCAAGCAATGGAGGAACTCCTTTGGGCACATAAAACAGCTCCTCATCAGTTAGGGAACATGTGCGATCAGTATGTCCTAGCAAGATACAGGACATGTGACACAGTCTCTCTGATAGTTAACTCCTTCAGTCTTTCATTGTGATGATAGTATTTTTAATGTTTTTTTCTAAAGTGAAAGTCTTCTTTGAGAGGAGACTGATGATTCATTTCTGTCTGGTCTCCTTTAGAAGACAAGACTCACCTGTAACAGGTTTCTTGCAAGCAGCACACTTATTGGCATAAAATTTGCTGAAACAGTCTACGCAGTATGGGTACTCATCTTTGGAAATGAATCTTTGCCTAGACAGCTGAGTTTTACACACAGCACACACAAAGCACTCTTTATGCCAAGGCTGGTCATGGTAGGTCACTCCTCCAGAAGTTATAACCTAATGTATTGACAAACAAGGAGAGAGCAAAGAAACAAAGGTATGAGTCACGAAGGATTGTCCAGTCCTTCATAAGTACTTCCACTTGCTTTCTCTCTTCCATTATGTACAAGAGAAAAGAGGGTGGTCACATCAACTGGTTTTCATCTGGATTATCCATTTAACTAATTTGCTGTTGAACTCCACATGCTACTCTTTATATATCTCTATATATAGTTTATATATTTTTATATATGTAACTATATATTTTTATAACAGAATAACTGTTTGTTATTCTCAATTTTCTATTACAGTATATAACCTCATAATTTGTAATAAATATGTTACCTTTAAAGAAATTTTTTCTATTGCACTGTATATAAGTGTTTAGAATCAGGCATGCTTTCAGAAGAGAAATTCTCAGTGATAAGCAGTGGGTGAGAGAATTGATGCTGAGATAATAGTTAATCTCCAACCAGTATTTTGCTGTCTCTCAGCTGCAACAGTATTTTAAATAGGAAAAAAGACAGTAAAGAAACAGAAGCAAAATAGAAAGGAGATCTACTTGGTCAGAAGAAGAAAAAAATCACATTTATCAGTGTCATCAACTTCTCTTTGCCAGCAATACACTCACAGCTCTGCACTGGTTATTTCTGAAGAGGGAAATTTCCAGTTGTTCTTTGGCTCCCGTTTGTGTGGTAAAGGGCTGGTTTCACAGAATGTGTGAGAGACTGTACAGATAAATTTCTATAAAGTTGAGCTGTAAGATAGTGTTTCTGCTATCCAGTCATATGCATGATAGGGAATGAATGCATGCATGAATGAATGACTGAATGAATGAATGAATACTGTTGGAACAGGAGGATAAAAAGCTGAAGAAAAACTTAAGTAAGAACAGAGATATCATCAAATTTCCCTGGGGAATATACTTTCAGGAAAATAAAGAATTTATTTTCTGGGTCATGTCAAGGAATAAAGTGATTTAAATAGTTTCTGATATCTTTGACAATCCAGTTTTGGGCTACTTTGTGGTTCCATTTGCTTTTCCAGTAAAATCTAAAAATTGATGACAAAAATTCAAGATTTGGTTTGGCAATTTAATGACTTTGGGCTCAATTCTCATGTGTGGGAATTGATGCAGGTTTCAGAAGTAAAATGGTTTTAGCTATTATATAGGGGGACTATTTGCATTCCTAGTTTTTAAGAAAGAAATCCTGATTATTTCATGTAGGAGTGTTCATTTAATGCAAATTAAAGACTAGATGTAGAGACATGGGAATATATAAAAGTACTTTCTAAAGTTTAACTACTGAAGAAAAAAGTAGGCAACATATTTTCCTGAAATTAAAAGCTTTTGTTAGAGGTAGAGATTTACAAGTAATCATTACATAACTTCAGGAAATTATAAGTTATTTGATGAAGTGAAAACAATAAAAAAAGTGCTTCCAGAGCGATGCAGGTACTAAAGAATAAGTAAAATTCTGCCATAAAAAGCAGCTTAAAACATTTCCCTAGAGAAAAGTATCACACTAGAATAGTATGATGCTTTGATTATTTTCATCGACAAGAGACAATCTTAAAACACAAAAAAAATGAGGGAGGGAAGGACTGATTTATCTGTACTTGGGGGAAAAAAGAAATCAAATCAAGCTTTCAGGTACCCACAAGGGTATCATTATGTATTGCACCGGTGGGACCCCTGAGTAGTGTTAACACAATTGAGTGTTACTTCATCTGCTAGTTACACTACATAGCTGATACATTTCAAGAAAGAATAGCCAAGATTGCAGATGATTTGCTCAATTCAGGTGGCTAATTATGCATATGAATACATCTGAAAAAGTAATGGAAAGAGAGGCACATTTACCAAGGCAAAATCAGAGATTTTCAGGAGAGAGGAGCTTTATACAACTTTCCATTTTACCTTTGCTAAAAATTACAATCAATAACTAAAGAAGCCCAAAGCACTTGTTTTGGCAAATACGTTTATTTCAGATATAATCAGTCAGATTAGCAAGGGTGGACAGGAGACACTGTCACTGTTGGTTTTCAGTGTCCAGTGTCAGTGGGACTCTGCTCTTACTCTTAGCTCACCAGACATTTCATGTGATCCAGCCCTTTTTCCCACAAGCAATATTGTCTCATTAGAGCAATTTTTGCACTGTATGTTTAATTACCTTTTTGCAAGCATAGCAATGGTGAGCAAATTGCTTCTCAAAACAGGGCACACAGTAATTCTCATTGTCTTTGGTGATTAATGGTCTTGTTCCCAATGGTTGCCGACAATACTGGCAAACGAAACAGGATTCATGCCAGGAACTTCCCTTAAATTCCATTTTACGTGAACCTGAAAAAAAAAAAGTGAAGTGAACAATCCTCTCAAATGTAGCCTTGAAATATAAGTTTTAAATGCTGGGAATGCTCTTGTTTTGAACCTTCTACCTCAGTATCAGATTACCCAAGAAAACAGATATCTCAAATTTAATAGAGGTTCTAAGAATGCACTTGAAATTTCAAGAACCCATTCAGTGCCATATAATCTAGCAAAAGATGTACTGAACTGCCTAAGCTATGATTGTTATAGTCTACTCTTATATGAATCTTCTGGGGTTTCTTCTTTGTGATTATGCTTGAATTGCTCAGTTTCTATCAAACCAGTCAACTCAGTGATAATGTTCAGGTACACAGCACTTTTATAAATTTGAGATTAATTTGTTGGATGTTTAACACATTTATTATTGTCCTGTCTTCTGTCTTTCTTAAACTAAGGCTCCTTTGCTTATAAATGCATGATTTATCTTCATCAGCTTAAACTGGAACTTTCTAAAAGTAAATATTTTTTTCTGTGATACATCACATTACACTGACTTCTCCTATAGCTCACCATTTCTGTCCTAGAACAGCAATTCTTTTTATCATGTTTTACTAGATGCTTCTGATACAGCACAAGGACAGAAAGTTGCTCAGTTAAAGGTTTGTCAGAGGAGTTTCAGAGCTTTTATCTCTGTGTACAGGTGTCCTATCTTGATATAGAAACATAAGTCTAAGATATACACATGTATCTGGGAGCAATTTTTTCAGTGGATCCCCATCCATAACTTCCTACCTGTAGGTAGCATCAGACTGCACAGAGAGGTGCAAGGTGCTTTACTATCCTTTCCAAATGAAGAAAATTGCTGCTGATTAATCCCACTGTACCTGTTTCCTGAACTGTGGGGCCAGTGGAGAAATTACTGGTTGTTTTAGACACAAAAGGTTTTCAGCTTCATCCCAGGGACCAGAAGGCTAATCTCACTGTCTTTCACAACTAGATCTTTTCAACACAGAGCTAGCATGCCGATGAGAAGGAGGTTAATGATACAGAGACTGGCTGGCATTCCCATGCCACTGTTGCACCGTTTCTCACGCCTTCAGGCACTTGCTGCAAAGATTTAGACTCTGTGACAAAACAAGCAGTGTGGATATACACCAGAAGATAATAACACAAACCAGAGTGTATTCTGGCACTTTTTTGATCACATCTAGTGAGGTGTGCCTATTTGACAATATTTTTGTAAACTATATACAATTTAAACAGGTTATAATCCTTAAAATGAACACAACTATATTGTTACAATATTTGTTTCCACTAATGCAGATTTTACTTGTAATGAAAGGGAAACAAACTGTAAAAATACAAACTAGTGTTACAGGTTGAATACAACATGAGTAATCTAGTAGCAATAGTAAGACTATAATTTTGCACAGCCTGGATCTTACTGTTTGGCATTAAGATATACTGAAAAATAAAATTCCAGTGTCACTGCCAAATTTACTGATGTTCTCTGTTCCAAAAGTTAGGGACACGTTTTCCTAAGCAAGCAGCTTCCTTTTGCAACAAATGGTGCTGTGGCTTCTCTCAGATGCCTGTGAAGAGGCAGTTTTTGGATAATCACTCTGCTGTATGAGCTTTATTGATGTGGTAGTGATGAAGTTTAGAGCATGTCCTGAACAGACACAATCAAAAGCTGAGAAGCAGTTTAGTGGAAAGTGCCAAATTTTCAAGGTTGCTAATGGCAGGAAGTAAGCCTATTGTAAACATGGACAATATTATAAAATGGACTTTTATTAATTTTAGTAAAAATGCTGCCAATGATTTGAAGGCAAATTGTCTTGACAATTTAAACAAAATTTTTGTTTAAATTTGTATGCTGAGTGAAAGCGCTAGTATAAAGAACACAAGCACAGGGTCTGGTCAATGTGGAAAACATGTCAATGACTTGTCTAATCTGGCACTCCTGCTCACAATGGCTCAGTTTGTCTACCTATGCTCACAGTGGGATATGCCTCCTAAGAACTGCAGCAGAACCAAGGACACCACATGAACACACTTTACCCGGCATTGAACTCTTAATATTTTTATAAGGATTCATAAGACCCGTCAATGACAGATGAGATGTGTCTGCCTGCCTTCTCCCCGCTGCTGGGACAGTGCTACTACACACAAAGGAAGAGTAGTCACCTCCAAGCTGTTCTGAAAGTCAAGGACCTTGTAGCTTGGTTATTCCAGGAGGTGATCATTATTAAAAATGTGGTTCAATTTCTCAGCAAAGAGCCCCTGTTGTCTTACCAGGCATAATGGTTTTCTGGCAGTGAAAACACTTGGATGAGTACTCATCGGAGTAGCAGTCAGTACACAGCAAGACCTCGTCCTTGGCAGCAAATGGTTTCTCCACAAGTGAGCGACTGCACTTGGCACACCTGAAGCACCCCTCATGCCAGTGACGGCCTTTGTAGGCCAGATCCTCGGAGAAAGTAAGTTCATGTTAATCAAAACATTTATTTACAGTGTTTTTATCCCTCAGTTCCTTCCAGAACTAAAACGAAAACCAAGGAACATTGCAGTGGTGGATCCAACCAGAAGTGTGCTCAGGAAAGGTGTAAGCACTCAATGTCACACTCTTGTGTAGACCTCTTGCAAAGGCCATTATGAGCTGCTTTGGCAGAATGTCTTTCCTTATGTAACATAGAGGTATGTTTTTATTGGAAGAATCATATATTACATTTGTCTTTCAAGGGGAAACAAGTGATCAACATTTTTAATGTGCACAAACCACTGGAGAGGAAGCTCATATTCTGCAGAATTTGAAATGAACCTGATGTATTTTCAAGGTTACAACTTCTTCTTCCAGCTGACACAGTGCTAAGTTATGTCAGAAAACAAGCAATTAAAATCTCATTGAGAGCAAAACAATTGTAAGATTTTTAAAAAATACTGCTTTTGTTTATATCTGATAAAAATCCCCCTGAAAACTTGGCAGAAAAAATGTCTGTTTAAGACTCAGTGGGCTTAAGGGATTAAAGAACTAACAGTATATGTATGAGATCCTGACTAAGAATTAAAAAAAGACCAAACAACAGATTTAATTTTTCCATAGTTAGAAAAGTAAGGGGAAAATTTACCTCCAAAAAACCCTCCCAGCTTAAAAAATAAACACTTCCAGGGCTCTTTTATAAGTAAGAAATATAAAAGGGCACAAATCCAATCTCATTGCTCTCCTTTATCATGTCCCTGCCTTATAAAGAGCTAAAAATGAAAGAAATACCATGCTTCGTTTCAGGATGTGCTGAGCACTTTCATCGCCTTAGTTAGCACTCTGAACCTTGCAAGAACTAGGCTGTCAGCCCAGAGCAGCCCGAGGCAAAGACTGCGTGAAGAGGAGAAGAAGAAAACCAAGATCTAGCCCCTTGGCAGAGGTGAGACAATCAGCTGCAGATGTCTGTGTGCCACTTTTCTAGATGTCTCTAGCCAGGTTCTCTCCTTTCTTACCACATCTGCTTTTTTCTCCCATTTTTTCCTTCCACTCAGTCCAAAGACATGGCTTTTTGTTTATGATCTTCAACAACAGTAATCCTGCCACTTATTTAATTTTTGATTTTAAAGGTGAAATTAAGTGAACTCAAAGCATGTGCCCTCCTGGTGAACCTGACTGGTGCTACATTGCCGTGGGTAAAATGGTGATGAGAGTTTGAGAAGTGTCTTCATCCAAACTGGCATTTTCTTTGGATGATTCCTGCACTCAGTTGATGTGCTTTGAAGCGCTTGGGCTGGGAAAGCCTTCCAAGAGGTTTATTTTAATAATTTTCTGTCTTTTTATTTCTAAGGAACATAGGCAAAGAGAGCATAGGCAGAAGGTGACCAGTACACACTATACTTGGCAACACAAATACTTTTTGATAGGTTTCATTTGACCTTAAAATTCAAAGTCAAATATAAGTGTTCTAAATTGAAGTATGGAGTACTAGAAACCCCATCAAAGATCAAGGAGGGACTTGAATTATTAATTAATATTGTAAAATATGGAGAGGTGAAAGGAAGGACAAGGTCAGAAACACTGCCGTTAACATGCCATCTGTGACATCAGCAAAGTAAACATAGAATTTAGCAGAAATTAAAAAATATTTCATTTCCAAGAGAGAGAGAGAATATGCAAATTATAAACATGTTGTCTTCTCAACTTGGCATCTGCTTGTCAACACCTACAGGAAAAGTAATTTATTCAATGCTCAAAATATTTTTTCATTGAACATCTCACAGAAGTTCCAAGGTGTCAATCAATCTGATACACTGAATTACACCACCCACCTTATCACCCCTCCAGCACTGTGCAGCCTCTGCTGCCAGTGAGTGACTGGAGGTGAAGGATGGAGCCTAGCTGAGGTCCACACATACACCACAGCCTTGCTGTATGCTTGGGGTATATGCATGTGCAGATTTCCTCACCTTTGATCCCAGAGCTTTCCTATTCAGGGGAAATAGCAATGTTTCACTCTGCTGTCTGTGGATGTACAACAGCTGTGCTTAGGTCTCTTCACCAATACAGGGATATGCAAAGGGCTGGATACCAAATCTGCCATTAAAGAACTGGATTTGTGTATAATTTAACAAGGAACAAAAAGGGCAAGCTAAATCTTTACCTTGGAGCTGCACTCAATGGGTTGCTTGCACTCTTCACAGGGGTTGGCGTACAGGCTGTCATAACACGGAACGCAGTAAGCATTTTCATCTCTTAGTGCATATTTCCTGCCACGGAGAGACTGCAGGCAGAAATGACAGTCTGTGTGACTGCTGGTCATCCTGCTGGAGCCCCCCACGTGATCTGCAAAAGATGGAAAAATCAGGTAATTCAGTGCATGACCATTTGCTTGCTCAAATACCAAGTAATGCTGCATTACCTGTGAAAGTTAGACAGGCATTTCCTGGTCATTTGCAGTGTCCTAGGTTTCTTAATGCTGGCTTGTTCTACAATAGAATGGTAGCCTTTAACAACATATACTGCAAATTGTATTACCTACGTGGTGGGGAGCAAGAGGGCTACTTCAGCTTGTTCTAGCATTGTTTCAGGTCAGACACCTGAAAATGAAGTCATCTTCAGATTTATGTAGAACTACTGGCATTATCAGCATTATGTACTGGATTCTGAGATATGGTTCATCCAGAAGTCAGGTAATGGAGATAGAAGCAATAATTCAGAAATGAAACCAACTGCAGAGGTAAAAGGCCAAAGAGAAGAGACAGGCACTCTGTAGAGTCTTCCGGACCTTCTCTTGATACTCCTGTCTTTCTGCTCATTCCTTTCTTTTCAAAATACCCCCACATCTGCCTGACCCAACAGAAGGAAGACAAGGGACTCCAGGATATACGACTGTTTTTTGCAATATCCCAACTGTGCTGCTAATGTTTGGTGGCATTGTAAGGTCACACAAATACCCCAGGAGAGCAAAAGGGTAAAATATAAAGAAAAATAAACTAAATCGTAAGTCAAACAAAATCAGAACTTAAAGAAAGTTTCACTTGTTGTTATAGGAAAAGATTGTTTTTTCTTACATATTTCTTCATTGCCGGATTCCGTGCTGGCAGTACTAAAATAATGTGAGATAGTTTATATTTCTGTGCTGGACAAGTGCAGGAAATAACACAAGTCTATTGAGAGTCAGTTGTGTGAATTTCCCATCCTTCAGTTTTCTGGGCTAAAGAGGCTCGGACAAACATCCAAACCTCAGCTGCTTATAGATCTGCAATAGTGAATGTTTTAAGGATTGTGGAGATGGAGACTTATTTCAGTCTTCTTATTGCTGGTCGGAGCATCATCAGTCTGCTAAAATTGGGTCTTGATTCTTGGAAATGAAGAAGAAACCAGAAAGTTCACAGTGAAGAAACCCCAAGAACATCTGCTGGGCTCATTGGATTGCACTCTTCATTAAACTCAATGGTATCAGCAGTCATGAATTTTAGAGGAATTGAAAACAACTGGGGAAGGTCTCTTAAAATATTTACATGTCAGTGACTTTGGGCAGCTGAAATTTTTTGTACTTTGAATAACAGAGCAAATTAATTTCTCATAACCAGATGCAGAGCCTGAGAATAAGGAAGAACGTACAGAAGACAAGATTAGAGGGAGTTCTTATCCATGACAAAGCCTATATCTAGTCCACTTAGAGTCACACCCTCATAATTTGTTTTTTTACACTCACTGACTGTCTTGTAACCATGGTTCAGTTTTAAAAAGGTATAAAATATTTTTCTGGGTTTCTGCTTCAGTAAGCTCTAAACCAAAATGATTGTTTGAGCTGTGAGAAAAAAACAATTACTGCAGGTTTCCACTGGCACCAGTGCATAAGGTCAGGCATTTATTACTCTGTTCTGGGAGGTGTACTAGTAAAATAGTGGAAAGGGGGCAGCAAGAGAGGCTGCCATACTTATTTCAGACCAAAAGTAATTACTTGATTGGAAAACTTGTTGCTCCTGTAAACTGAAAATCTTTAGAGCTGAATTGATATATGGTATTTCTTACTGCCCCTAAGGTTTGCGTCAGCCAAGACAGGGTGCAGTAAGGAAATAAATAATCTGGAACTCAGATCAGTGGGAAACATGCTTTCTTAAAAATATTTCTGATGTGTTTTATGTAATATCCTTGTAAAAATAATATAACAGGGCTTAAATCTGGACTTCCATTTCCTTAAGATCAGAGATTTGAATGTGTAACAAATAAACAAATGAACACACTTGTAGAGAGAAAATTACATCCATCAGCTTGTACATTTACAGAAAGTGGCACATAAAAACCAGGCAGAGCTCAGTGCATTTAATGCACAATCACAGTCATGACCAAAGTCAAGGTTAAGTTTTGAGCATTTTGCTCTGTTTCGGGAAAGAAGTATAAACTGGTGCCTAAGGACACAATCAAGGAGTGTTTGTGGTTAACTGTGCTCCATTATCAAGGTCACAGGACAGGCTTGAAACTGGGTTTCAGAGGATTTTAATTTCTTTTTTTCGTGGGAATTAAATAATGAACTGCCTTAGAAGATAACCCTGAGTGACCCACCTTACTGATCCTCTCCTTGCTGGGTCAGTACTCCTGCTTCCTGACAGAGTTCCATCTCAGCCTAAACAGCAAAATCCAAATGGGGCATTCATGAAAAGTTTTGTTACTTATAGCGCATTTTTATTGCGCAAACCTCACCAACAAATAGCTTCCCATATCTGTAGAAATATCTCTGATTTTTTCCTTCTAATGAAGGTCAATCAGGTTTTTAAGTTATCAAAAACTCTGCATACCAAGTAAGTTTCTTTAGCAAGTGGTTCTCTTGATTATTGCTTTTTTCCCCAGGAAGTCAGTCTGTTCCAGGAAGTCCATGTTGTGTGCACAAACAAGACCCACTACTATAATACTTCAGAACTACTGAATTTGTAACATAATTATCCTTCTAAACCCCTATATGGATATGGGATCAAAGTGCTATTAGTCCTGTTCTACAGATGAAAATTGTTGCTTAAGAACTTTTAAAAAGGTACCCCCAAGAACAGAGTCAAAGCCTGAGAGTGTCCTCTGATAAAATGTTCAAGTTGCCCAAGAGTTTTCTTTAGAAAAACCTTCAGTTTGACCATGAATCATGATAAATTTGGGAATGAAGCAGCAATGGTATGCAAAAGAATGAAGATTTTTGCAAACCTCTTGGCCAAGGTATGGGCAACCTTTGAGAACTACTTTTACCATTAGAAAATACAAAAAAAGGTGAATCTTGTCTCTCCCAGCACCATTTATCCTTTCTCCAATAAATAGTAATGGCACAAGTGCCACGCAGTTAAATAGAATGTTTTTCTTGTGCTTTGATCATAATCTCTAGAGTAATATGTTTACTTTAAGTTTGCTGGAAGCTAGACTTTGTGTTTTGAAGGTCAGTTAAGAAATCTCTGGAGATCTGATGTTATTCACTCTCATGGAATGAAACGCTGACTCCAGCATTCCAACTGCTAACTCGAGTCCTAGGCACAGGGAAAGACTGCCATGTCTCCATTCCTTGGGAAAAGATGATTTTACTATTTAAATTGGAACATTTTCAATTGGAAGCTAAATTCTGTTGATTTTTATGTACCTGGTAGGCAGGGATACGTGGTATCATTTTTAGTGTTAAGAATATTCCAAGGAGGTGAGAGAGACGTTGCCAAGGATGTGAGCATATTTTAACTGGAGCCCCTGGGGTCAGATTTGAGAATGCAGCAGTTGCATGGACTGAATGATAAAAAGAGATGAAAACAAAAAACTAGATCTGGCAAGTCAGCCTGCTGTTAAAGCAGATTAAGATAGAATTTAACTACAACAAATTATGACAGGGACTTTCTGGAGAGTCAAATGATTTCCTATAAAATGAAGAGCATTAGAAGACTTCTGTGAAGAAAGCTATAAGAACATGACTGTGAAGCTGTGAATCCTGATAAATATGGAATCATCAGGAAAAAAATTCTTGTGTTCTCACTGGATCTAAAAGGCAGAACTAGAAGGATAAACCTCTCAATAATTTATCTTGAGGTTTTCCATAAATATATTTTAATTTCCCTCACATCATACAAGAATAAAACACCCAGAAACATTCATATTACTCAGAAAAGAATTAGTATATACATATGGATGCAGATATGTACATACAGGTAAAAATATTCTATCTTTCACTTCATGGCAATTGTAATGGACTATTTCCCAATCTAAATATACCTGCCATTGAACTTCATCATCCTTTTCTTCAAGAACATACAATTATTGGAATGAGGCCTGTTCTTAGAGGGCATAAAAAAAGAAAAAATATGGGAAAAAGTCCTTTGAACAACACTGAAGGATAATAAAATAATTTGATCTCCTATGAGGAGGACACCCCAGCAAGCTGCCCCAGGCACTTGTTCATTTTCAGGTAAGCGCATGTTTTAATTTTTAATGCAATTTGCCTTACTTGCATGAATTTGCTGACTTCATTTTCCCTATTTCTATTTTTATAGAACGAATGTAGAAATTTATGCATTAAGGGCTCTGTAATATTTGTGTTTCTAAAAATGGCTACAGAAGCAATAGGAAATAAGAGAGTATATTACAGATCAAGTCAAACCAAGAACCCACAGGAAAGAAGACAGAGAAATTAACTCTGAACTATCTTACCTCTGTGGCACAGGACAGTAATATAACATCAGATCCTGGAAGCATCTGAGTACAGAGCTCTTACTGATTAAATTCTCCTTTAAGCAGCCAGGATGGTTGCCAAACGGGACACAGCTGTAACAGTCTAACCATCCCACTTCATGGTCCACAAGTGACACTGTTTTGGTGGGGTGTCAAGACAAAGCAGGTATTTTAGAGGTTGGTCTGGTAATTCATACTGAATCGTACTGTGTTCACACACCCCATGACTACAAGCAAAAAGGGCAAGAGCTGTGGCTTAACTAAGGGATCAAGCATCTCAGGAATTTTGTAATTTTTTCCTTAATTGGTATTGCTGTCTACTTTGTTTACACCATACAAACTAAAATGGTGTAGTCAACTAAATTCTTGCCTTTTTTTTTTTTCCTGAAATAAAACCCACATTTTTTACAAGTTTTCACATAGTCTGGTAAAGCCAGTGTTTTCTCCTGTGTCATTATGGTCATTATTTTCTGACTACTGTCAAATGTATGGAATAAATGAAGTGATGAAATAATTCAGCTGTGCACTGTTGTGACTTTCAATGCAAAATCCTGTCAGAATTAGTTGTACTACCCATACCGAGCCATAAAACAGGTTTGAGGATTTCATCTGTTACAAAGGGCTCATCTGACAAAGAATACTCAGATTAA